CTTCTTCTTCTGTATTTGTCTCCCCCTCTCTCCCCCATTTTCTTAAATCACTTGTACTCTCTTGTTTCCCTCTCTATTGCTCCCCCACCCCCAAACACTGGCAAGGGTCCTTTCTGCTTTCCTGGTTTCTGCAGTTATTTCAGGATATGTACTCACATCTGAAGACTGGAGCTAAGGGCCTCCAATCTGAGAGAACAGGTAATGTTTTCCTTTTTGGGTAACATAATTCCTAACTGCATTCCAAAAATTAGTCCTTTGTTCCCCCTGCAGATGAGTATCATTCTCAGTCCTAATCCAGGAAACTTCTCTTTGCAACAGATGGAGACCATTATGGGAAATGCAGAGCAATGTAGCCCAGTCTCAATGGATATATCTACGAAACACTCCGACACCTAAGGCTCAGGAAACATTACAGAGGAAGGAACAGAAAGATTGTAAGAGCCAGAGGGTAGGGTGCTTGCTGTGAGGCTGTGTCTCCTAGTAAAGTCAGGAGCTATGTACCTAAAGTCTCAAAAACATGACTGCTTAAACATTAATTGAGAGAGCAACGACATGCTAATGTGGAAGGGGGAACTATCACAAGGCTTCTCGACCCTAGACAAATAACTATAGGCAAGAAAGGAATGCAGAGTGCAGGAGAAATAGTCTTCACCAGGCAAGAGCACACCAAGTTGTTACCCAATATAAAATGACCAGCCCTAAAATCATACATACAAATAACATTATATAGACTGAACAGGTTATATTTAGGAATATATATATATATATATATATATATATATATATATATGTATATATATATGTGTGTGTGTGTATTGTGTGTATTTATATATATGCACATATACACATACATGCTTGTAATAACAATTAATGAAAAAGAGACTCTAAATTTGAAAGAGATTAAGGAGGGGAATATGGGACAGTTTGGAGGGTAGAAAGGGAAGGGAGAAATGATGTAATTATATTATAATCTCAAAAACAAAATAAATAACAGTAAAATATACCTAAGGGCTCTAATTATTGTTTGGAGCTTTTCAAACGAGATTCTAAAGAAGCAGCTGCTCATTACTTAGGATATAGTTTGAATGGTTCTCTATTTTGATCAATGTGCTTGGATTAGGTAGGTTTGCTCTTTATGCATGTCCCTTCTCACTAAGAATGCCATTTTAGTCATATGCATGCCAAATGATGCACAGGCATAAGGCAGTAAAGCAGAGATTGTCTCTAAAATTCAATTTGAGATCACAATTTGCCTCAGTGTGCATGTATCCCAAACCACTCTTGGCCAGGTTGACCCACTGCTTGGATTCTGCTCCAGGATGTGTTTAAAACAAGGTTTTTACCTAGAGCTGCTAAGGAGAGTAACTTATTCCCACTGTTTAAAGCAGATACACATGGGGCTACATGGAGGTATGAGTCTGAGGTTGCTAAGGGCTTGTTACATGCGTTCTCTGGAGAGCAGTGTGTGCACAGCCCAAGCTAGTGGCATTCCAGGTTGTAAAGCCATTCCCTATGGTTGTTGCTTTGGCCTAAATATGTTTTATCCCCTTTAAGACTCATGTTGAAATACGATTTCTAATGTAATAGTGTTGGGATGTGGAAACTTTAAGGCATGTTTGGGCTATGAAAATGAAGCCTCCATTAGGAAGTCATGCTGTTCTACAGGGACTGGGCTAGCTCTCTAAGGAGTAAATGCCTACCTTGCTCTCTGGGGACTGAATTAGTCACTGTCATGAAACCAGTCTATCCCATGTGCTTTCTCTCTTCCATATCTGCCTGCTTGTCTTTCTGTCAGATTATAATGCATCACAAGACTTCCATCAGAGATACCCACTTCACCTTGAACCTCTAGTTTCCTTACTTCTTAATTAAACTTTTTTCCTTTATAACTCACCAAGTCTCAGGCATTCTGTTACAGCAAAATAAAACAAAGGAAGACTGAAGTCCCAAGGAACTTGATTATAAAACTGTAGATATGTTTATCAATTAAAGAATGTTTTTGATTTTTTTAAACAATTTGCTTCTGGAGAAATAACCAAGTTGCATGCTTGTGATATAAACATTAGGACATGAGTTCAGAATCCTAAAACTGGCATAAATTCAAGTGTGGCAGTGAGTGCCAGTGAGCCAAGTTCTGGGGGATGGCATAGGTGGTGAAAAGCAGATCCCCAAGCTAACAGGCCAGTCTCTGTATCAAGCCTCAGGTTCAGTGGAAATACCCTGTCTCAAAACTAAGGCAGAGAGCAACAGATGAAGACACCTGGAATGAACATCTAGCTTTTGCACATGCATACACATACAAGCACACGGTCACATATATTTGTACTCTCACGACATAGTACTGACATATGCATGTCCCTGCGTGTATATGCTTGTACGTATATGCATGCACATGTGCACACACAGAGAGAAGAATGTGGTTTTTCTTGTAGGGAGGAAGTGAGAAAACCCACCAGAGGCATTTTCTTGACACACAATGAGTATAGGTTTTTATTGAATATCTATAATATTAGAAAAGTATTTTTTTTGGTGTTGGATTTTAGAAAAAGTGTCATTGTGGCTCCTTACAAATTAATTCCAGTATGATTGGTAGAAATTTGCATTGGGAGGGTTCTTAAAATGGGAAAAATAAAATCTACTAAACTTTCATTTGTTCTAGCATTAAGATGTGAAAACATCAACTACATGGTAAAATGTTCACAACAAAATGTTAGATGCTTTCTTAGACAAGATACTTTTTGATAATAGACTTTGTATGTGTGCAATACCTCAACAATTTTGGGTCAATTTAGCAATCCAGAAAGAACTTAGGATTTGACTTTGAATCCATGTGAGAATGACTCCTGCCAGTCTGGTTATTTTTTATATATATGATTACAGAACCACTGCTACTCAAATCCCTTCTTTGATGAATGATTGGCAGGAGGCAGGGCTGTGCTCTTTGTATGAGCACGAGGTGCCATTCTGCATAGAGAGTGCAAGGTTTTCCATCATGCATTAGTAGAGTGAGCACTCCATGTTCCAGCAGGAATCACAACTAGTCTTGGGGCAAATTCTGGTAAACTGGGAATGGAATAATCTCTTTTGCTCAACACTAGCATAACTCTTGGGTTTGGAACAACTTGTAGACATTTTCAGGTCCATGATTAAGAAATTATGAAATTCTCTGGTTTTTGTTTATCTAATGTGATGCTCTGCTCCATGAAAAATTTCTCAGAAACCTGGGTTAGGAGTTAACAGTGCTAATGTGGTGGAAAATTGGGTGACTGTATTCTTGCTTTTTTCTCCTTTAATTGTCATGGAATAAGACCTCATTGGGAGGGCTTCATAGTCTTTTTTTTAATATAAAACCTTTATGGCAATTGTTTCCTATTTTAACACTCAGAAAGTTATGTTTGGTACAACACTTTGAAGTGGAGGTTGTTTGTAGCAGATGACTAAAAATCTTGCCCTGCTTTTCAGAGAACTGAGGAGATCTATATCCTAGTCATATTTTTCTTCTTTTCCTTTCTTCCTCCTCCCCAATACCTCTCTCTCTTTCTTTTCTCTTTCTCCCTCCCTCTGTTGGTTTTTTTCGAGACAGGTTTTCTCTGTGTAGCTTTGTGCCTTTCCTGGAACTTGCCTGCCTCTGCCTCCCGAGCGGTGGGATTAAAGGTGTGCGCCACCACTGCCTGACTCATTTTCTTTGGGCAGTTCCTACTACATAGCTCAGATTTGCTTGGAACTTGTGATCCTCTTGTCTCAGTCTCCCAAGGACTGACGCAGTAGGATTGCACCATCAAATCCAGTTGACAAAGATAATTTCTTAAAGCATGAGGATATGACAGAGTGTGTTGAGGACTTAGAATATACAAATTCTGTCATCTGTTTTGAGCATAAAACTGTTAGCCTCTAAGAAGTAGGAAGTTGGTACAGAAACTGTGTGTGTGTGTGTGTGTGTGTGTGTGTGTGTTGCTCAGGATTGAATTTAGAGTCTTGTACATGCTAGGCAAGTCAAATCCCCTGCAACTCTTTTGTACAGTAATTTTAAAGTCTCAAGATACAAAGTGAATCTTCAGGTATCAGGATCTCAAAGTACGTTAGGAGAAGGGAGACTTGACCACCAAGAGTTGATTCCATAACTGGCCTGCAGAGTAGAGTCTGCCTGAATTATTGGACCCAGAAATGAAGAAGAGAGTGTGTCAAGATAGTTAGGGCTGGGATTCTGGAGATTTTATAATGATGCAGAGTTCTGAGGGTGCTTTGTAATGCTTCCTAGAAGGGCAGCTCAGCCTCAGAGAACAGGCAAGGCTTTTTTTAGTGATTCCTTTTTATGTACAGTTCCCTACAACAAAGACACAAGCCAGAAACCTAAACACCTCTCTTGGCTACCTCATCCTCCAATGGTCCCACTGGAAGATCTCATTGTTTCATGCCATATGGAGTAATAAGTGGAAGGAAGGGCAAATGGGCTCCCAAGAGATAATGCTAACTGTTAGGAACTTAAAACATTTTTTAGCATTTATCTTAATTTCTTTTTCCTGTTGCTGTGATAACACAACTCAAGGAAGATAGTAGTTATTTTTAACTTCTGTTCAAGGGTACAGTCCATTATGATCTAGCATCAAGGAAATAGGAGCTTGAAGTATCTGGTAATACATCTCAACTGTCAGAGACCAAACATGGACCATGGAAAAGTATTAGCTAGGCCAGAGAACAAGCCCCTACCCTAAACCAGATGCCCCCAAAGATAAAGAACAGGCAGGCAGGTCAGGTAGCATAGCAACAGAACAATGGGCCCTGACCAGTGATCTTAGCACCTAGCAGCCTCACGACTTGCACGACTTGCACGTAGCCCTTCACCTGCACGCACAGCACGTCGTGCACCCCTTCCCTCCTTCCTGCCCCCTCTCATGTTATATAAGCCTTGCTGAGGAGAATAAAATTTGCAGCTTGATCAGAACACACTGTCTTGCTGTCTTCTCTCGTGTCTCCCCCATCCCTCTCGTTCTCTCCCACAGGTGGGTCGCCCCCGTTGATACCCTGCTGGCCGGAGCATACAACCAGGAAGCAGAACTCTTTAAGATTCATGCTACAATCCAAGGCTCAAGTTTCTGAATACTCACAGAATTTCCCAACAGGGGGAAAAGAACAGTACCCATTGCTCCCAGTGAGGCCACCAGAAATAGATGAGGAGGAGGTACTATTGCAACTCTAGCTGACCCATCACATAGCTTCATCTTTCAGAGAAGAGAAAGATACAATGAAGAGCTGGGATGTTTTATTACTGTCCTAGAGGCTGGAACATTTTATTCTATTACTCTTAAAGATGTCTGAAGTGCATCAGTGCTGATGAAAGGCACACCAAGTCTTCAGTGACCTAAGGAGGGTTTCTGAAAACCCAAGGGGAAAAGAAAATCTGTCCTCTTTCCCTGCCAAGCAGACAGGGACATGAAGAATCCTCCATTGATGGCTCCTTGTCCTAAGATGACAATGAACAGCTGTTGCTGCTATCAAGTGCTTTGGAGGTGCTCCTCAGGGCAATAATCAAGGCCTAGAAGTTCCGATTTTTACATTGTTTCATCAGAAGCAGCTGGCTTCAGACCCAAAGGAACAAACAGAAACCTTGATAACTGCCTGGGTGTTGATATGTGGGTTATTGAAATGGCTCATTATTACCACGACACAAAAAAGAATCCTCAATGCCAATCCCCAAATTCCTCATTCCAGTAATTCAGATATAGGCTCTGCAAGACTAGAGATGCAGTATTTAAGTTCCTTTCTTTCAATAAATGTGCTCTGGAAGACATTTATAAATAAATTGTGCTTATTTACTTAGATTTCCCTGAGAACTTGATTCTTGAGCACTAACAGTTTAGAGGAACTTGGGTTGATACTGTTGGTCATTGGTAATGCTAGGGAGTAGTGGCTACAATGATGATATGTGTTTCTCTTGAAGCTATCAATTTTGCAAAGAAGGTATTTACACAACTCATAAAATGGAATAAATAACAAACTGAGAAATGAGAAGGTACTTATTCTTCCTTTAGGCAAAATAGATAGGGATGTGGGAGAGTGGGAATAAAAATTGGGAGGTTACCCATAGTGCGTTGTCTCCAAACCCTACCTAGCAGTAGTACATGGACCTAGTAACCTGGCACCTCGTAAATAGATTTAACTTAGGCACACCAGGTTTCCCCTTGAGAAGTTTCCATATGTATTTTTGCATCAATCCTTTAACTAAGGATTTTTCACTCCCTTACATTAAGTATGAGTGCAGTTCTGTGATTGACAACAAACTTCCTAGGTAGACATTCTGCTTTGGGAAGGAGTACTGGGGAAGAAATATGCTTTCTGGCATTTCAAGGAGGCTTCTCTGTGTGAGTTATTGCTGAGGGCTCCACAGCCGCCGTGTTTGTTTACATCATCCCTGCACTACAGTGCCGAATTCATTGTTTGTAAAGCTCTTTGGGATAATTTGTATATGAAGGATTCTATATAAAAATCAGTATTTATTCCTTTTTGTATTATGCTTTTTCAGTCTGACACATAAGGATGCTTTTATATGCAGTAAGTAAGAAGTTAAGCACTCAACTCCTATTAACAGCACTAGGAACTGGCTTCCAGCGTTCTATCTGGGGCAATGGAAAAGGACTCACAGGTGTGCAGGTAAATTGAAACAAAGACAGGGGAGAGCTCAAGTACTTATTCAGCTGCTGTAAGTTTTATGTGCAACCAAGCTATAAAGAATGTGGGGGAATTTTACTGATTGTTGAAGTTTGAATTACTCTGGCTTATTTGTGGGTGTTATTATATACAGAATGTGTGTGTGTACAAATAATAAAACGTCCATTATCAGCATCTTGTTATATGATAATTTCAATTAAATAGCATAATTTGATTCATTGATGAAATGATACTAATAATATCTACCATAAACTTGAAATACTGAACAATCCTGTAAACCTTCAGAATCTAAAGAAAGATTAAACTGAGGCTTATTGGGTTTTTGTATTATTTTTCTTTTTTATTCTTAGAACAGGAATGGTTGAACTAATAGTTGTAGTGACCTCCCAAATCACAAGTTTACAAACTATGTTTTTATTAGTTTAAAAATTAGAATACAGAGTAATGGGTTTTGTGATGGTATTTTCTTACATACTTATTGTATCCTCTTACCTCCCATCTTTTCGCCAGTCCCCTGCCCCTTTGTTCTGGTCCCCATCCTTATTTTATTGATCATCCTTCTCCCACGTCACCTGTGTTTTGTTACTCTCTTTTCTTTTTCCTTTTCTCCCTCCCAAGTCTTCACTTTCTCCCCACTATTCTCATGTTCTCCTTTCTAGTTTCACAAACTATATACAAACATGAAAATTTAAATCTAGGAGTCTTATCTAGAGGAAACATGCAGTATTTGATTTTCTAAGTCTAGGAGAATAAGCTTAAGATAACAATTTCCAGTCTATCCATTTTCTGCAAACATCATGATGTCATTATTTTTGTTATAACTGAGTACAATTCTATTATGTATATATACCACATTTTTGTTATCCATTCTTCTGTGGATTGACATCTAGGCTGGTTCCATTATAAATTATGAAACAAAAAAAATGAATGTACAAATATATCTGATAAGACTTAGAGTCCTTTGGATAGATACTCAGGAGTGTTGTAGTTGTATGATATGGTAGTTTAATTTTTATCTTATTGAGAACCTTCCATACCAATTCTCATGGTAACTGTATATGTTTACATTCTTACCAACACTGAATAAAGTCTCCTCTTACCATGTATCTTCATCATGTTTTTTTCTTCATGTTATCTATTCTAACTTGGGTGAAATGGCCCTTCAAAGTAGTTTTAATCCATCAAAGAATATTTTGAGGAAGGACGATGGTGAATGACACTCATTCCTCAACTACTAGAATCTCCAGGAATAATTTAGAAACAGTGGAGACAATCCAACTTCCAAAGTGGGTGGTGATGGAAAGACATGGACATTTTAGTAGAAAAGAGAGAGGAGGGAGAGCTCATTCCCAGATCATGAGTGCTTAGTTTTGAATGGTAACTGCAATTGAAGAGGGCAGGAGCCAAAGCTAAAGCTAAAGAAAGCCTCAGAAAACATTCACTGTTCATTCATTTCCTGAAAAATTGGGGAGCAGTTGAGTGAAGAGAGGGAGGCAGAAAGACGAAGAAGAGAGAGAGAGCCAGCTAGCACCAGAGATAAAAGTGAAGACAGAGACTCTGAAAATAGAACCAACTCTGGATTCGTTGCTGAGTAGATTTACAGTTTAGTCAGATAGGCACCCTGAGGGTCTATAAGACACAAGTGCTAGGGAAATTCTCTTTTGTCAGAGTTTGATTCACTAGGGCAGTGGCTCAAAGCTGTTGTGAAAAGGACCTCGCTGAATTGGCAGATAGGAGAAACTAGAGGCAAAGGTTCCTGTTTGCACTAACTGACAGTCTGTGAACCCAGGGAAAACGGCTGGCAGTTATACTCAGAGCTGGCCAGCAGAACCTGGCTAGCTAGAGGGGAAAATTGTGAGTCAGGACCATGGATAGCTCCAGCAGGGCTCAACTGCTCTAGGTCATGAGTGACTCTTACTTACTCCCCATCCTGGTATTAGAATGCTGGCCACTGGATCTCCACTGGAGGAGCGAAGAGCAACCACAAGTATATATGTGAGAACAGTTGTTAAAACCACTTTGCCCTACCACAAGCCTAGAGAATTGAAGATACCAAAGTCTTAGACCCAAGAGCAGACAGCTTCTCCTCTGCTTCATCCAGTCTCTAAAGATAGAAAGACCATCTTAAATACAAACCTGTACTGCTCACCCCATAAACACACCCTTTTGTTTTGTGGAGAACATCACAAAGAATACCAAAGGAAGTGAAATATCAGAAAGGTTTGGTCTTATTCTCATTGGGAGACTTGAACCCCAGTAGCCAAGGGAAGGAAAGCCAGACAACACATATGGAGTGACAACCTCAGGAGATGTAAACCTAGCTTTCCTTATTCTCATTCTGTGAGTTTGCTATTATCGTTGCTAGCTTTATTTTAAATTAAAATTATTTCTATTTTATTTCATCTTTGCCCCTTTTCTCAGATCATAGAACATTTATAAAGTGTTTAAGTCAGATAGATTCAATCAGAGAGAGCAGTTCAAGTACTTACTTGTATAATTCTCTTTGTTAGTATTTAATCTTTTTTTTTTTTTTTTTTTTTTTTTGGTTTTTCGAGACAGGGTTTCTCTGTGTAGCTTTGCGCCTTTCCTGGAACTCACTTTGGAGACCAGGCTGGCCTCAAACTCACAGAGATCCGCCTGCCTCTGCCTCCCGAGTGCTGGGATTAAAGGCGTGCGCCACCACGCCCGGCTAGTATTTAATCTTATGGCCTAGCTTGGTCTGCTCTTCCTCTGTCTTTGTCTCTGCCCCCGCTTCCCTGTCCTCTGTCTTTGTACCCCACTCTGGCTCCCAACAGAGCATAGGTTGGGCTGGTGCTAGGGAAGAACTTCTCTCTGTCCGACTTCCCCAAGTTTCAGTTTGCCTGCTCACATTTCTTTTTTTTTCTCTTTCTCCTCCTTCTGTACCTTTAGCTAAGCCTGTATTCTCTCTTCTTCTTTACTGTTCCCCTTTATATTTATCTTTCCTTCTTCTATTTTGCTACATTGCTGTATACTTATCACTAGTCTTCCTCTCTTTTTCATATTGTTACACCCATTAACCAATGCCTTTGTATGTGCTGTACTGTCCTTTTTTTTCTTTATTCTTAAAAATTATTGAAATTGAAGGAATGCTTGTTTTAAAATTTCTATTTATGTGTTTTTAATTCAGGTTTTAACTATCAGTGTAGTTAACTTTGTACTGAATTTTCTATTCTTAAAGTGATTATTAAGAATTGTGCTTGATACTTTGAGAATGTAACCTTACAGTTTAGCTACCGAGCAACCCCCACAGTCTAGTTGGGGAGAAAGCACATCTCAACCACAGAACGTCTGAGTCTCACCTGAATATTGCAAAAGCAACTGAAAGAATGTAGACAATACATAAAATGAAACTAGTGATCCAGTATCAGATATACAAGTCCCAAAGAGGAAACAAAAGAACATGAAAAAAAATCAGAGGAACATGACTCTTCCTGAAGTTAACAATTCTGTATTAAAGGATTCCAGTGAGGGTGAAGTAGGTGAAGTCAATGAAATCCCCAACAAATAATTCAAAAGGAAAAAAATTATTTCAAGAGTGTTCAGTGAAATCAAGGAGGACAGAAATAAACTCCTGTGTGAATTCAGAGAGCATACAATAAATAGCTGAATGATATAAGGAAGACGGCATAGGAGGGGTAAATCCAAAAAGGAGAGAGCAATATGCAAATGATCAATTGAAGCTTTGGAAATAGGAATTAATAAATTAATAAATGGAATAAGAAATTTGATGGAAAGCTTGAGAGATTGGATCAAATGAAAGACAGAATATCAGGGATTAAAACAAATGTAGAAACCAGGCGGTGGTGGTGCACGCCTTTAATCCCAGCACTTGGGGGGCAGAGGCAGGTAGATTTCTGTGAGTTTGAGGCCAGGCTTATCTACAAAGCAAGTTCCAGGACAGTCAGAGCTGTTACACAGAGAAACTCTGTCTCTAAAACAAACAAACAAACAAACAAAGTAGATGAGTTGACCATTTATAAAATAATACAAAACAATAGGAAAGTATAGAAAGAGCACGCGAGATCTCTGGGACATCATTTAAATTCTCACCTTATGAATATGAAGGAGAGGCCCCAGATAAAGGAATAGAAAAAACTCAATAAAACAATAATAGAACACTTCCACACCTAGTGAAGGAGTTAGCTGTCCAGGCCCATGACATACTTAAACCATCAAGCAGACAAGATTAGAAGATACTCCTTTCATGTCCTATTACAGTGAAAACGCTAAGCCTGACAAACCAAGTTGTGACACTGAAAGCTGTAACAGAGAATTGCCATGTTACCATAAAAGTGAACCCATTGGAATAACAGAGGATTTCACACCAGAAATTTAAAGTCAGGAAGGCATGTAGTTATGTATTTCAAGCCATGAAAGATACTAACTGCCATCACAGATTAAATTACTCAGAAAAGTTACCCTTTAAACTGAAGGAGAAAAATGAGCCTTCCATGCTAAATACAAACTAAAGGAATTCATGATCACTAAGCCAGCAGTACAGATCAGAAGGAATCCTACACATTGAGAGAGAAAAAGATGAATATATCTAAGAGGTCACAGGAAAGACCAAGCTGCATCAAAACAGTAAATAAGCATGTGAGGACTAGGAGTACACCAAAATTACAAAACCACAAGAGGCTTTTCAATAATAATGCTGAATGCTAGTGGTCCCAATTCTCCCATAAAAAGACACAGACTAATAGATTGGTAGGAGGAAAGGGGAAAATGATGTAATTATGCTTTAATCTAAAAAATAACAGAAATAATATGAACAACTATAGTCAAAATGTAAAGATACCAAAGTAATTGAATTTTACATTTTAAAATGGTGTGGCCTATTATATATCAAACATGTCTCAGTAATGATGTTTGGACACCCTCATATTCAACCCAATAAACCAGGTGAGATGGCTCAGTGATTAAAGGCACTGGCTGTTCTTCCAGAGGACCCGGGTTCAATTCTCAGCACACACAGGGTGGCTTGAAGTCACCTGTAACTCCAGTTACAGGGGATCTGATGCCCTCTTCTGGCCTCCTTAGATACTGTATGCACATGACTCACAGACACATGTACAGGCAAAACACTTACACACAACAATTTTCAGAAAATTAGGGAAAAAAATTTTAGGACCTATATCTCTGTTGCCCTTAAGAAACAAATCTCTGTTTTGAAGACAAATTTAGCCTTATAGTAAAAGGATGGAAAATTTATCCAAAGAATATGGAACTGGAAAGCAACCAATAGTAGCTATACTAATATCTGACAAAGTAGACTTAAAACCAAAATGAATCAGAAAAAGATCATTTCACATTGATTAAGGGAATAGTATTTTAAGAAGATATAAAAATTCTAAACATATACACACTGATTCATATACAACCAATTTTATTAAAACCCTGATGGAGCCGGGCGGTGGTGGCGCACGCCTTTAATCCCAGCACTCGGGAGGCAGAGCCAGGCGGATCTCTGCGAGTTCGAGGCCAGCCTGGGCTACCAAGTGAGTCCCAGGAAAGGCGCAAAGCTACTCAGAGAAACCCTGTCTCGAAAAACCAAAAAAAAAAAAAAACCCTGATGGACGTAAAGGCACAAACTGACTTTCACACAGCAATAGTGGGTAATTTAATTGCTCCACTCTCATCAATAAACAGTTTATTTAGATCAAAGCACTAGCAGGAAAACAACACAGATAACTGATAGAATAAACTGAATCATTTTCACTCTCCAATTGCTGAAGAATACATTCTTTTCAGCAGACAATGGAACTTAATCTAAAATATTGCATATTTTAGGATGTAAAGCAATCCTTAATGAATATAAGAAAATTCAACAACTTTTCACACTCTATTTGTTCATAAGAAATAACAGCAAATGAAACTCCTAAAAATACATGAACTCATGGAGATTGAACAATATACTATTGAATGACCAACAAGTCCTAGGAAAAATCAAGCTGTAAACAAAAAAATTCCTATAATGAAATAAAAATGAAAACACAACATAGATCCTGAGTGCAGTTCTGGTAGGAAGGCATATAGCTATAAGTTCCTACACTAAAAAATTAAAGAGATCTTAAAATACATAA